CCAGCTGTTTAGATATTGTTGTGCATATTTTTAAACTGTGGACATATTACAGCAAGGAAAATTCAGAAGTCAAATAGTTAACCTACAAATATAGGGTTAAATAAAGTCTTCTAAGATCTCTATTTCTCTTTTTTCTTTTCTGCCTGCTTTGAATTTGCTGATTACTAAGCTACAGGTGTTGAGACAAAATTCACTGTTCCAAAGTTATGTGAAGATTTTGTTTTCCTTATACAGTACAGTCAGTTCTAACTATGTTGTAAGCATTGATAGCTCATTTGAAACTGAAAAAGAAAAAGAGAGGTAAAATAAGTTTTATTTTTATTTTTATTTTTTGAGTTGGAGTCTTACTCTGTCTCCCAGGCAGGAGTGCAGTGGCACACTCAAGGCCACCACAGCCTCAACCTGCTGGGCTCAGGTGATCTTTCTGCCTCGGCCTTCCAAGTAGCTGGAACTACAGGTGCATGCCCTTATACCTGACTAATGTTTTGACTTATTGTAGAGAAGAGGTCTTGCCAAGTTGCCCAGGCTGGTCGCGAACCCATGGCCTCAGGCAATCCTCTTGCCTTAGCCTCCCAAAGTGCTGGGATTACAGGTGTGAGCCACTGCGTCCAGCAAGAGAGGTAAAACAAATTTTAAAAATTAAACTGCTTTACCCAAATTTTGTCCATAGCCTTTATTGGATATTTGGTTGTATGTGTGTATGTATGTTAAATGTCTTTATGTGTGTGTTCAGGCTATGTATTTTGTCTAGTATGCTACCAAATTGGTTTATAAGTTAATGAGTACTCATAAATTAAATGAATAGATCTAAATGCTTTCAAAGTTCATTAGACTTTAATTATCTTTGGTAAAGAAAAATGACCTTAAAATTATTGGTAAACTGAAAGTGTCTTCAGAATTGTCAACATACGTTTTGTCTGGGTCTACTAATTTAAATATGTTTTGCATTTGTCTCTGCTAGATATTTTAAGGTGTCAGGGTTTAGCATAAAGGTTATAAGACTATAAATCCAGTCAAAAACAGAATAATCATTGCATGTATGATTTTTATTTTTGACAAGTAAAATTCATTTAAGATTGTTGATTTCATGAAACAGCTGAATCTTCTGAGTTATTGACAGAATTCTCATGTATTCAACTTCAATACTTAGGTGGACACCAGGTGAACACAGGCTATAAAAAATGGTTAACAAGAAAATAATTTAAAAAGATGGCTAGCTTTATCTAATATCTCAGTAATTAAGCACACAAAATACATAAATTAAGTATAAATGAAATCATGTTTATGATGGGAGAGCTTTTCATGTAATTTGAAACTTTGAAATTATTTTGGAGGTTCATGTCTAGGTTGCTTTCAATTAAGAAAGGGTTGTGATATGGGGAAGCATATTTCCAAAATTGTGTTATGGTTCTGATCTGTACAAAAGCTGATCTCTGACAGACAATTCAAGATTTCTTGCTTTCCTGGGTTTTCACTAAATTGTAAGATTATATAGAAAGAATAATTTTATATGAGAAAGGATTTTATGTGGTACATTTTGTCCTAAAGTAAAATGGTCATTTAGGAAAGAGGGATGTACATGGGAAAATCAAAGTCCAAGCATATCATAGATGGTCTGTGTAAATCATGATAAGATATGTGATTAAGCTGGCTATAATCAAAATGGAATTATTTATAATAGTTCCCTACGTTAGAACAAGGTTTTCTTAAGGTATTGACTTGCTCTTAATACAATTTCAAGAGGTTTTTATTTTTAGTCCTATGTCCTGTTTCTTTTTTGAAAACTTTTCAGGCTTGAATCTCAGTAATTCAACTTTTACTATGTTCAGCTTTTTCCCCCTTTGAGAAGGCTTGAGATAATAAAGCTCTCCTTCAATTTTTTTTTATCAGCTCCTATAACTTTTTGTTCTCCCTCCAGTTCTAACTGTTGTTGTGGACTGAGGCTAAAATGTTTTATCTTAAAGTTCTAGAAAAGCAGTATAACATAATACTGTACTCTTGGCCTTTCTGACATGTCTAAACTTTTCAGTGTCATTGGGAACATTCTGATGTTGTCCTTAATAGTCATGCATTCCTTTACTTACTACTGGTTTATTAGCTGTTGTATAATATGATGTTCATGCAAGACCCTGGATAAACTTTTCTTGTGTCTGATTGAGTCAAGCATTTTTCTCAACAGGTTTAACTTACAGGTTATCTAAATGAGTTTGCCATAAGGAGAAACAATCACACTCTAGAAGATATTTCTTTCCTTTTTGGTAATCAGCTTAAGAAACAAAGATTTTACATTTCTTTTTTTTTTTAATTTTTAATTTTAAAGATGTGGGGTACAATTCAGGGTTAGGTATACAAATGATCATTATGCAGATACCCTTGTTGACGAGGTGTGCCTCCCCACCCCCAGCAGATGCCCACTACTGCCAATCCCACCCCCACCCCCTGCAGTTTCCCACTATTGTCAATCCCTTTCTTATAGTATTGTGATAATTGTTCAGGGTCCGTTTATGAGTGAGAACATGTGGTATTCAGTTCTTTGTTTCTGTGACAGATCACTCAGTATTATAGACTCTAAGTCCATCCAAGTTGCTGCAAAGTTCATAATTTTGTCCTTCTTTATGACTGTGTAATATTTCATCATGTATATGTACATTTTTTTTATCCAGTCCTCTTTGGGTGGGAAGCACAGTTGGTTCCATGTTTTTGCTATTGTGAATAATGCTGCAATAAACATGCATGTGCAGGTATCTTTTTCATAAAGTGATTTGAGTTCCTCTGGGTATATTCCCAGGGGGGGTTTGCTGGATTGTAAGGAAGGTCGATTTTTAGATCTTTTAGGAGTTGTCACGCTGTTTTCCACAGAGGTTATACTAGTTTACAATCCCACCAACAGTGTAGAAGTATTCCCTTTTCCTCACATTCTCTCCAGTATCAGTTTTTTATTGAGTTATTGATGATGGCCATCCTGACTGGAGTTAGGTGGTATCTCAGTGTGGTTTTAATTTGCATTTCTTTGATGACTAGTGAGACTGAGCATTTTTTCATGTATCTGTTGACTGAGATTTTACATTTCATCAAAATTATTTTTATGTTGCTTTTATTAAATTTTTAATTACTTAGAAAAACTAAGCTTTAAAAAGACTGAAATTCTTACATCTACATGTAGTATTGCTTTTAAAGTTTTAATTACCACCTTGAATAATGAATAACTTTTATTTTATAATAATCTGTGATTCTACTTTAATAAAATGTTCTGAGTCTTTCACATCTTTAATAAATGTTCTACTAACTAATTTTTGTACCGTTAAGTTATAGGGTTTTGGTTTCTGGGATAGGACCAAAAAAAACCCCAGTGAATCCTGCTAAATCATGCCAGGCAGGGTCTTATCCTCAGACTCAGGAAAAGGTGACAATAAAGATAAACTGCCTTTATGAAACACAGAACAAAAATTAAAATTATTCAACCTCTCTAAGCCCAGGAGCTACCATGGGAAAAGAGGGCATGTGAGATTATAAGGGTTGATTTTTTTTTTTTTTTTTTTTTGAGTTGGCGTCTCACTCTGTCGCCCAGACTGGAGTGCAGTGGCCGCTCCCGGTCACTGCAGCCTCAACCTGCTGGGCTCGGGCGATCCTTCTGCCTCAGCCTTCCGAGGAGCCGGAATTACAGGCATGCGCTACCACGCCCGGCTGACTTTTTGATTTATTGTAGAGATGAGGTCTCGTTGCCCAGGCGGGTCTCGAACCCGCGGGCTCAGGCAATCCACTCACCTCAGCCTTCCAAAGGCGCAGGATTACAGGCTGAGCCACCGAGCCCAGCTATAAGGGTTGATTTTAAGGGATAAAAATAATTCAGAGTTGTCTACAAATTAAACATTAAAATCAAAACACACTAATACAAGCCAACATCTGAATCCTTGTAACAAAATAACAAGGTTTCCTTGGATCACTGGTTTGTTATCTAATAAAAAATTACAAAAGTTGTACTAATTTTATAAAAATCTTGCCTATAGTTAAAATGATTAAAAATAACATAGATTTATTTCTAAGCTTTTATTAAAATTTATTTTGATGTTAATAATACAGAAAGGCAGAGGTAACTTTGGTTTTCTCTTGTGAACAAGGTTTTCTTGTAATTTCAAGAGATAACATAAATATCCTTGTTTACCTTTTAAGTAAGCTAGATAAAAATAAAATAAAATACATAGAGAAGTGAAACAGATTCAGTTGCCCTTATACTATCTTTCTTACTTCTTATTGTTTAGGAAAATAAGTCTTCTCTATCAAAGTTCTTTGCTTTTTAAGATCTTTAAATTATCATTTTGGCTGAATGAATGACTTAATTTATGGTCACCTGTGATCCTGTGTTGTAATAGCAAATGTTTTAAACCTTTGATATTTGGCAGACTTTCCAAAATCAAAATATAAGTTTCTAAATTCAATCTCTATCACCTCACTAATTTAAGGTAGTGGGTTCCCTGAAATCCAAGAAAAACATTTGGTTGATTTAGCATATTGAAATCATACAGGAAACATTGTCAAGTATAAAAAGATGTTTAATTTTCTTTGAGTTATATCTATGTGTGTTCCTGGTATGTATTGCAAAATTGTATAACACTCCTATAATTCAAATATGTCTTAGTATATGTTATCAGTAATAAAAATTAAGTTAAGATGGTGTATTTCTCAAAATAACCAAATTTTATTATTAATTGTGCTTTTAAGACTGTCTTAGAAAACTTTTTTCATTCACAGTTATTGTTTTACTTTAATCCCCTTCAAGAAACAACATAAGCCAGGTGTGGTGGCTCAGCCTGTAATCCCAGCACTTTGGAAGGCCAAGGTGAGTGGATTGCCTGAGCCCATGGGTACAAGACCAGCCTGGGCAACTTGGCAAGACCTCGTCTCCACAATAAATAAATAAAAATTAGCCCGGCGTGGTAGTGCGCACCTGCAGTTCCAGCTACATGGAAGGCTAAGGTGGAAGGATCGCCAGAGCCCAACAGGTCAACACTGGGTTGGCGGTGAATGTGCCACTGCACTCCAGCCTGGGCGACGGAGACTCCAACTCAAAAAAACAAACAAACATGTAACCAACTATAGGACCTTACCAGTTACTTTTAACTAATTTGTGTGCTGCAAAACTAAAGGAAGTCATGCCTTGGGTTCAAATCTCATACCTAAAGTGAGTGCCTAACCACATTCGCAACCACACCTGGACTTCCCAAACCAACTGCTGACACCTGCTCACAATTTAAGGAAACACCTGCAATCTAGTCAGTCTCCAAAGCAACAACAAAGGCAGGCATCCCTCCAGGGACATCAGATCCTGCCAGTACACATGAACCCTGAAATAACTCTCATCTTTGCAGCCATCACTATGTTAACATTACATGTCTCTTATAAATGCTATGCCAGATACGGGAAAAGGAAAAAAAAAAAAAACAAGATAAAATCAAGGGCCCAGATCAGGATAGCTCATAAAATAGATCTGCTCCAGGATGGTTTTTTTCCAAACTGAACTTTAGGCCTGACTCTCTCTAGCCCTTAGACAAATAGTTATAAAATCAGGTCAAACCATGTCCTACCCCATAATCCAATATCTGATATGGAAACTATTGTCACCAAATCTTCCTCCTAGCACTATGGAACCTCACCAGATAAACAAAATAGACAACCCTAGGAATGAGCCTTCCTAGCGATGTGAGGCCTCTAGCTGTTTATTGGCCTACACATGCATTCTAAGGAATGATGCTTAGACACTAAGGGGAGCTGAGGACTAAACATGACCTTTTTAACTTTCATCCAAATTCCTAACTAAGAGGCTTGGGGAGTCACACCTAATAAGGACTCACCAGAAAGGGTTTTACTACGCTATCTACTAAAGTTTGTGTCCCAACCTGACTCTGGCATAGCATCATACAATGAATAAAGAAAAAAAAAATCAAGGTATTTTATGACCCTGCAAAGTCTCTTGGGGACTCCCAGACTCCAGGAACCTTGTAAGACACATCAATCCTCTCCAAAGTCTTCCACCAGTAGGACTTCATCTACATATCAACATACCTAGAGTTTTTTTCCCCCCCTTATCTCTTAGCACCATGAGAGGATTTGGTACCGTGAGGCTACTTCAAAAAGTTACCACTGCCACTTTGGATGCTCTTTCTCAATCTACTGCTGATGCTTTAAAGGCTTATCTAAATCTATTGAATTCTCTTGCCCGCTATTTTAAAGTTTTTATTATTTTCTACAATTTGAACTATGTCCTGAATTCTTTCCTGTCTACAAATGTGTAGACTAGCATCTTCAAATTTTTCTTCAGATTTTCTGACTTGGAATTACGAGAAAGTAAAACTGTTTTCTTAAAGCTCTGTAAACTAAAACAACCTTTGGCTTGCTTGCTAATGTATGAACTTCAGAGAAGCTTCACTTGAATGACTGGTTCAAACTACAGTACCAAGGAATCTTTCAGTTTGCCACTACTTTCTGAGGATGCATCAGAAACTCTAAAAGTTGGTTTATAAACTGCTCCAGACATTAACCTTTGTTTTTCTTCTGTCTCCATAACAATATCTCCTGTCAAAAAATCTATTGAAATCACTGATATAGGCTCAGTGGCTCAGCCTGTAATCCCGCGCCTTTGGGAGGCTGAGGTGAGTGGATTGCATGAGCCCGCGGGTTCGAGACCCGCCTGGGCAACTTGGCGAGACCTCATCTCTATAATAAATCAAAAATTAGCTGGGCGTGGTAGTGCACGCCCTGTAGTTCCAGCTACTTGGAAGGCTGAGACGGAAGGATCGCCGGAGCCCCCAGCAGGTCGAGGCTGCGGTGGCCGGAAGCGGCCACTGCACTCCAGTCTGGGCGACAGAGTGAGACTCCAACTCAAAAAAAAAAAAGAAAGTAAACCAGTTCACCTTTAGTACCACCTTTGAAAATGAGATGCAGCTGTTTAATGGGACTGGTACAGGTGGAATACACACTTTCCTTTGTTATCCTTTCAGCTTTTAACTCAGTTATTCTGTTTCACAACCACAAATTCAACTTTTTTTTTTTTTTTTTTGAGTTGGAGTCTCACTCTGTCGCCCAGACT